TACTTTTGATTAGAATCGGGGCTGTAAATGTGTAGTCGACTTTTAATGGTTGCATTTTGGAACTTGATATATCTTTTGTGAACATGATGTAAGATTTAAATATTTAGTTAAGGAAGCGACTTTTCGTTATTTTGACTCGTAGTATTTGGTATGTATCGTTAAGTTCGATTTGATTTGTCCTGAGTCCTGACGAGAGTTGGGCAAGCGTCCCGCGGATACCCTTGGGTTCGCCTTGGGAGAAGTGGGGGGCGTCACAAACTCTCGCCATGACTCAATACAATTTGATTCAAATTTAAGGATAACAACCAAATAATAAAAGTTGAAACGAAAAAAAGTCGCATCCTTAAATAAATATTCAAACCTTACAACACAAGTTCTCAAAAGTACATCACTTTCCCCAAAAGTACATTCACTAGAAGTCGGCTAATCAAATACCACCCAAAATACTAATCAAAAGTAATCAAACCGGTTTCTCCAAAAATTCGTTCCATTCCAAACTCCTATTAAGGAAAACAAAGCTAATGGGGTGAGCTGACGCACAGTGAAACCAAGAAAACACGCAAACACATAGTTCAAATAGCAATTACATTTGTATGAGAAACAAACAAGGAAGTTCAAATAACTCATAAATAACATTAACACACTTAATAAGGATACAGGAGCTTTCAGGAGTTAGATTCCACTTGTTTCACCAAGGGTCAATCAAATACCTCTACGGAATGACACTCCGTCAAAACCAGGTAGGTATTAAGTCCGCAGAACTCCACTTACTCTTCATTCCCGTTCACCGTTACACCCCCTGTCCCGGGCCTGCTCTTCTTTTATAAAAAAACGCTATTCCACGAGTATGCCAAGCGAGATCTCTTAATAGATCAAGCTTATGATTATCTCATGGTTCAACGCAGAACACTAATTACTCTTCATTCCCGTTCACCGTTACACTCCCTGTCCCGAGCCCGCTGTTCTTTTATAAAAAGCGCTATGCCAAGCGAGATCTCTTAATAGATCAAACTTACAATTATCTCATGGTTCACCGAGTTTCTCGACCAACCCCATATTGGTTCGAGTCGCAAGATCGGCCAATTGAAATTTAGGCGTCCCCCGATTACTATTATGAGCCGATGAGATTCACTCCAATCAACGAATACAATTATAAGCCGATGAGATTCACTCTAATCGGCAAATACAACCACAATTACAATTCGATTATGAGCAATTCAATTATATAATCAATTAAAAGAGAACAAGTGCGATAAAGCACACATTCGACTCGATAATTGTAAATCACTTAATCTATAAGAAGCAATTCACATAATTGACAATTATTCATGCACTGAACACTCACCAATTCAAAAGAAATGAGTAAGTGCAAACAAGATCTTTAGTGGTCGGCTCTGAGATTCTTCTCAAGATCCTCTTGAGCGCCTGAAGAAATAAAAATTAACTATCACTAACAAATACTTACAAACCCCTTGCCAAACAAAGAAGAATGTACACTTGCATAATATTAAGACAATGTCTTAAAAGAGCGTTAATATCTCAAAAATCGAGATTCAAAAGTGAGGATTTAAAGTCACAAGAGAAACTAGCATTCTCCATGAAATCGAGTTTAAAATGAGCTATCAATGTCAAAAGGAAATGAAAAATTCTAAAAACTCATTTCCTAAGAAATCATGAATTTTCAGTTTTGCGCGATAAACTTGATAAAATCAGATCTTGAGTGCGGCACATCCAAAAATGGAAAACTTTATACCATTGGAAACTAAATCCAAAGTACTAAAAGTTTCCAGAAGACACTTTTCAAGGTTCCAAACAAAAGGCATTTATTTTTCACCTCAAAATTGCTGATTCAAGAAAACAGAACCAATCTTGGTTTTTGACGATGTTTGGAAATTCAGAAAAATTCACAAAAAGCAAATCAGTCTCTAAAATTTATAACACAATAAGAGTTTTAAACAAGGTTTCAAACACAACAAACATAACTAAATTCGGAGTTTCAAGCAACAAGACATAACAGCTTAAAGTCGGTTAAATTTCACTACTTGAACACTAAATTTCTAGATTTGAAGATCAATATTTAGAGCATCATTTGGATGTCGAAATGGTATTAAAATTATACCAAATTTGGTACATTTAAACTTCCATATGTGGACTACCTCTCTATCAAATTTTAGATAAAAACTCACGTGGAAAGGCAGTTAACGAAATGACTAAAATTCATGAAATTTTCAAAGCAAATCTGCCAACCCACTCTTTCTTTCTTTCCAAAGGTTTTTATCCAATGAAATCAATCCCAATTCACTCCATTTTTTAAACTAAGGTTCCAGCAACATTTAATAAGTAATTGATGGTGAAATGACACTAGAATTTTCGAAATATAATCTACCAAAACAGGTTTGACCATTCGGCCAGAAAGAAAGGAAAAAGCTTCTAGTTTCCAGCTTTGTCGCGTTTTCGAAATCAAGCCATATCTAACTCTATACAAACTCAAATTGAGAATGTTGGTGGCATTGGAAACCAGATTCCAAGTGCCACAATTCATCAGAAGACATCATTTTGAAAATATTTTCACAAGTAGGACAAAATGCAGCTTCCAATTTCACTCGTATGAACAGTCAAAACAGAATAGTTAACTTTGCCAACTCACTGCGGTTCACTCGAAATGAACCAATAGGAGATTTTTATACTGTTGGAAAGCTATGAATGTCTAGCTTTGGATGTTACAAATGCCACTCGATTTTAATTTTTGTACAAAAAGTTACGTTCAAACAAAGAGCTACTGTCTGGACATCTTGATTACAAATTCCAGATTTCTTCCATTTTCGAAAACCCTAGTTTTGAGCAACCAATTGAAACGATTTTTGGAAGGCACATTCTACACACAATATACAACATATATCCATCAATTCATAGTCATCCAAGCATCAAAATTTCAGATTAAAACAGAGCAACAATGGACAGAACTTCGGCCAGCTCACTAACCAAAAATTTTCCAACTTTTTCTCCATTTTCTAACCGTAAACCTTTCATTCATCACACAAACAACATTAACCAAGCAACAAATCCTCAAAGCAGCTACCTGCAAGCCTTCTCAAGAACACTAGCTTAGAGATTAAAGCAAGAAATGAAATACCTCAAGTCCGCTAGCCTATTCCTTACTTAGGGTTGTAGACCCATGCCATCTAACCACTAAACTTTGATTAAATGGGAAGATTTAAAGGAGACGACGATTACCTCTTGAACCCTTGAAAAAATCAGAATTTTTTTCACCAAAACTCTCCAAAAAAAATCTATAAGATGATGCCTTTCTCCAAACTAGAACTAATCTCCAAGTAGTATGTGATTTGGGTGAGGATTTTCAAGTGAAATGGAAGCAAAAATTGGAGCAAGTGAAGAGAGCTTTCTTCGTTCCCTTTTTCTTCTAGTTTTGACCGACCAAAGAGAGGAGAGAGAGAGTGGTTTGGGTTGTGTGAATCTTGTCTTGGAAGCTTGAAGAAATTGTGGCAAAAAACTTTGCAAAAGTCAACTATGAATAGGGTTTAAATAGTGTTTCGTTCCACCACTTTTCTTTCTTGTTTGTTGTACTAGGACACTAATCCTTCAATGTAATTCCTTTAACACTATAATTATTTACTCTTAGTAGTTTAGTATTAATTTCTCAAATCTTCACTTAGCCGTTCTGACGCGAAATACGTGAACTTCTGATTCGCACGTGTTAAAGCGAAAATTTGGACTCACTCATTTCTAATCTCTCAATTAACTTTTCTTAGTCTACTATTGATCATTCTTAATTCTCCAAGATTATTGCACTCTCAGATTGAATATTATCTCAAAAAACGTATACTCACTATTTCTCACTAAACGAGCCTCCGAAAAATTAAATTTGCTAACAAAACATTTTAAAAATATAAGTGAGACATTGTTCCATGTAAATGGATTTAAAATATTTGAAATAAATTATTCCAAAAAAATAGGTAAATAAATAATTAAATAAGCCAGTAAAATAAGATAAAAATAAGAAAATTTTTCGGGTCTTCATATCCTCTTCTCCTTAAAAAGAATTTCGTTCTCGAAATTTACACCTAAGATAGCATCATACCCCTTAATAGCCAGATTTATCAAATCGATCAACAACTTACACTCTCCAACCCATATCTCACCATTTCTATTCACCCAATTAGCAATCAAACTTTGATTCCCCAATAAGCGTTTTACTTCCAAGTCATAGGATAAATTAATCGGTCTCACGTCTACCTCACTCATAAATCTAAGATTTGCAAATGAGTGTGTGGTATCCGACTCACTTAGAACCTTAACTAAACAATGAAAAACACGAATCATACCTTCAACGGCTTTAGTGGAATTAGAAGCCTGTTGATGGTCTAATACATAAACTCTAGCCGTCACTTTAGATCGACTTTCTCCAGCACTAGTTTGTTTAGATGTTGACTTTTCTGACCTTTGAATACTACCTCCTACCTTCGGCACTCTTGGACAACTTGCGAGTTGATGCTCAGCACTATCGCAGTACAAGCACTTTTCCGATTTCCTCCAACAATCATTTTTCATATGATTGGACTTGCCACAATAACTACAACTAATTTGAGGAGTCACGGCCTGGCCACCAGAAGGCATTTCTCTCAATTAACCTCATCCATTGTGGCCTTCTCTATTTTGAGTCCCTTTTTGTGTACTAAGTATTTTCACTCATCTCATTCCTTTTTCCTTTTTAAAAGGTGGGACACTTTTACTTGCTTGTCTAGGGAAGTAACTAGGAGTATTTCTTTTCTTAGCATGGAAATTCCTAACTTTCAACCATGCACTTTCGAATCTCTGTACTTTCTCTAAATCTTCAATAAATGTAGAGATTTGGGCTGCCGCTAACCCCTCCTGAATCTCCACATTAAGTTCTTGCACAAAACATTTTATCCTTTTCCGCTCATTAGTCACCAATTTCGGAGCATATTTAGAAAGTTTAGTAAATTTTCTTTCATATTCAGCTACACTAAAAGCTCCTGTCTCAACTTTATGAATCCGCCCTCCCTTTTCTCTTGAACCAATGGTGGGAGAAATTTTTCATTAAACTCTCGAGTAAAGTTTTTCCAAATCCAAGGGGTCTGTGCTCTTTCCCATTTTCTCCTTATCACATCCCACCAAGCACGTGCTACACCCTCAAATTGAAAGGTAGCAAAGTTCACTCGTCTCTCCTCAGTATAGTTTAGGGCGGCAAATATATTGGTCATTCTCTCTAACCAGTTCTCCGCTAATTCAAGATCAGGTCCTTCGATAAACTTAGACGGAGAAAATTTCAAAAATCGCTCCAAAGCCCTATCATCCCCTTTATCCTGAGTCCCAGGTTGATTAATAGGTCGTTGACCTTCTCGCTCTACTAATCGCTCTAAAATATCCATCATGCGGTTGATGGTAGTAGTCACCTGGTTACCCTCTACGTCCTTGTCCTTGGGTCGATCCAATGGCCGATCCTTGATCGTCCCCTAGCAGTTGGGTTTGCCTAACCTCATGCCCCCGACCTCTACCTCTCCTTCGTCCATCCATGATCTTAGTTACGCCTAAATGCAAGAATAAAATTAGTTATATGAGAAAATATTTAAAATACAAGTCAATGCGGAAAACATTTGAAATAACGATAATTAGTATATATTAACAATTAAAGATCCATACAAGATCAGTAAGTCATGGGGCATTTACAAAAATATAACACACATGTGCCACAAAAGTGCAATTAGACATGCAATAGACACCAAGAGCTTTACAAGCGTCACCCCAACTAATTCTAGTAACAAAAGTCAAAAGTCAACATCCTAATTTAGTTCGCATCCGAACCACTAGTTTGAACATTCTCCTCCGGATCCTCCTCGAAAGGTTCCTCCTCAGGAGTGCCCTCACGAACCGGGCTCCCGATAGCCTCTATTGCCTCCTCTATCAATATGGTGGTGTCGGCTAAAATTCCAGCGGCCCGATCCTGGATTTCTCCAACTACTTAACCAGTCGAATTCTAGTCCTCTGAAGCTCAATACCAGCAGCCCCAACTCTAGTCCTCTCCTCTACCACTATTCCCTCAAGCTCAATGATTCGAGCACCTTGGGCATCTATCATAGCGTTTAGTTCCTCGATCTCTTGAAGTAAGGTTTTGTTGGTATTCACCAACCATCGACGCTCATCGTCAAGGGACAATACTAGCTCATTAGGGTAGGTGTACGTCGTCCTACAGGAATAACGGGGAATCCTCGAAAAAGGTGAGTATCGGATACGAGATCCTCCACCCAGCACTTGGTAGCAAATAGACCTAAGAGACACCACATATCCATTAGCGTGTCCATTACCATTAGCAGCATGATTTTCATTTTCATTCTCTATCTCTACAGAACAACCACAAATTCTAGGTTAGAACTTAAAGTCACAAATTCGCTCAATATCAACTTAAGATCTAACTAAGTTATCTTGTTCCTATTCTCAAGAGTAAAGACTCTAAAACATCTTCCAAATAGATCGCTAAACCTAGGCTCTTTTCCACCAATGCAGTTTAAGAAACTCTCAAGTACCAAGTCTCTTTAACCACTGGAATATAATAGATTAATATTCAAGTGAATTTCAAGGTCTGGTATCCTAAACTTTTGACCTAAGATACACTACAAAGATCTGAAATCTAAGATCTGATACTAACTGTGACGCCTTCACTTCTCCCAAGGGCGAACCAAAGGTATCCGCGGAACGCCTGCCCAACTCTCGCCAGAACTCAATACAATTCGATTCAAATTTAAAGATAACAACCAAATAATAAAAGTCGAAACGAAAAAAAATCGCTTTCTTAAATAAATATTCAAATCTTACAACACAAGTTCTCAAAAGTACATCATTTTTCCCAAAAGTACATTCACTAGAAGTTGGCTAATCAAATACCACCCAAAATACTAATCAAAAGTAATCAAACAGGTTTTTCCAAAAATTCTTTCCATTCCAAACTTCTGTTAAGGAAAAAAGAGCTAATGGGGTAAGTTGACGCTCAGTGAGGCCAAGAAAATATGCAAACACATAGTTCAAGTAATAATGGCATTTGTACGAGAAACAAACAAGGAAGTTCAAATAACTCATAAATAACATTAACACACTTAATAAGGATACAGGAGCTCTCAAGAGTTAGATACCATTTGCTTCGCCAAGGCTCGATCAAATACCTCCACGGGATGACACTCCGTCAAAATCGGGTAGGTATTAAGTACGTAGAACTCTACTTACTTTTCATTCCCGTTCACCGTTACACCCCCTGTCCTGGGCCCGCTCTTCTTTTATAAAAAAAACACTACTCCACAAGTATGCCAAGCGAGATTTCTTAATAGATCAAACTTACGATTATCTCATGGTTCACCGATCTTCTCGACCAAACTCATGCTAACTCGAGTCGCAAGGTCGGTCAATTGAGATTTAGGCGTCCTCCGATTACTATTATGAGTCGATAAGATTCACTCCAATCGGCAAATACAACCACAATTACAATTCGATTATAAGCAATTCAATTATATAGTCAAATAAAAGAGAACAAGTGCGATAAAGTACACACTCGACTCGACAATTGTAAATCACTTAATCTATAAGAAGCAATTCACATAATTGGCAATTATTCATACACTTGACACTCATCAATTTAAAATAAGTGAGTAAGTGCAAACAAAATCTTTAGTGGTCGGCTCTGAAATTCTCTTCAAGATCCTCTTGAGCGCCTAAAGAAGTAAAAATTAACTATCACTCACAAATACTTACAAACCCCTTGCCAAACAAGGAAGAATGTACACTTGCATAATATTAAGATAATATCTTAAAAGAGCGTTAATATCTCAAAAATCGAGATTCGAAAGTGAGGATTTAAAATCACAAGAGAAACTAGCATCCTCCATGAAATCAAGTTTAAAACGAGTTATCAATGTCAAAAGGAAATGAAAAGTTCTAAAAACTCAATTCCTAAGAAATCATGAATTTTCAGTTTTGCGCGATAAACTTGATAAAATCAGATCTTGAGTTTGGTACATCCAAAAATAGAACACTTTATACCGTTGGAAACTAAATACAAAGTGCTAAAAGTTCCCAAAAGACACTTTTTCAATGTTTCAAACAGAAAGCATTCATTTTTCAGTTCAAAGTTGCTGATTCAAGAAAGCAAAACAGAACCAGTCTTGGTTTTCGACGATGTTTGGAAATTCGGCAAAATTCACAGAAAGCAAGTCAATCTCTGAAATTTATAACACAATAAGAGTTTCAAACAAAGTTTCAAACACAACAAACGAAACTAAATTTGGAGTTTCAAGCAACAAAATATAATAGCTTAAAGTCGGTTAAATTTCACTATTTAAACAGTAAATTTCTAGATTTGAAGAGCAATCTTTAGAGCATCATTTGGATGTCAAAATGGTATTAAAATTACACCAAATTTGGTACATTTAAACTTTCATATGTGGACTATTTCTCTATCAAATTTTAGATAAAAACTCACGTGGGAAGGCAGTTAACGAAATGACTAAAATTCGTGAAATTTTTAAAGCAAATCTGCCAACCCACTCTTTCTTTCTTTCCAAAGGTTTTTGTCCAATGAAATCAATCCCAATTCACTCCATTTTTGAAACTAAGATTCCAGCAACATTCAATAAGCAATTGATGGTGAAATGACACTAGAATTTTCGAAATATAATCTCACAAAACAAGTTTGACCATTCGGCCAGAAAGAAAGGAAAAAGCTTCCAGTTTCCAGGTTTGTCGCGTTTTCGAAATCAAGTCATATCTAACTCTATACAAACTCAAATTGAAAATGTTGGTGGCATTGGAACTCCAATTCCACAATTCATCAGAAGATATCATTTTGAAAATATTTTCACAAGTGGGACAAAATCAAGCCACAAAACGCAACTTCCAGTTTCATTCGTATAAACAGTCAAAACAGAACAGATAACTTTGCCGACTCACTGCAGTTCACTCAAAACGAACCAGTAGAAGATTTTTATACCGTTAGAAAGCTATGAATGTCTAGTTTTGGATGCCATAAACGACACTTGATTTTGACTTTTGTACAAAGAGTTACATTCAAACAAAGAGCTACTGTCCCGACATCCTGATCACAAATTCCAGATTTCTTCCATTTTCGAAAACCCTAGTTTTGAGCAACCAATTGAAACGATTTTTAGAAGGCACATTCTACACACAATATACAACATATATCTATCAATTTCACAGTCATCCAAGCATCAAAATTTTTGGATTAAAACAGAGCAACAATGGACAGAACTTTGGCCAGCTCACTAACCAAAATTTTTCCAACTTTCTCTCCATTTTTTAACCGTAAACCTTTCATTCATCACACAAACAACATTAACCAAGCAGTGAATTCTCAAGGCAGCTACCTACAAGCCTCCTCAAGAGCGATAGCCTAGAGATTAAAGCAAGAAATGAAACGCCTCAAGTCCGCTAGCCTATTCCTTGCTTAGGGACCCATGCCATCTAACCACTAAACTTTGATTAAATGGAAAGATTTAAAGGAGATGAGGGTTACCTCTTGAACTCTTGAAGAAACCAGAATTTTTTTCACCAAAACTCTCCAAAAAAATCCACAAGATGGTGCCTTTCTCCAAGCTAGAACTAATCTTCAAGTAGTATGTAATTTGAGTGAGGATTTTCAAGTGAAATGGAAGCAAAAATTGGAGCAAGTGAAGAGAGCTTTCTTCCTTGCCTTTTTTTTCTAGTTTCGCCGACCAAAGAGAGGAGAGAAAGAGTGGTTTGAGTTGTGTGAATCTTGTCTTGGAAGCTTAAAGAAATTGTGGCCAAAAACTTTGCAAAAGTCAACTATGAATAGAGTTCGAATAGTGTTTCGTTCCACCACTTTTATCTCTTGTTTGTTGTACTAGGGCATTAATCCTTCAATGTAATTCCTTTAACACTATAATTATTCACTCTTAGTAGTCTAGTATTAATTTCTCAAATCTCCACTTAGTCATTCTGATGCGAAATACGCGAATTTTCGATTCGCGTGCGATAAATCAAAAATTTAGACTCACTCATCTTTAATCCCTCAATTAACTTTTCTTAGTCTACTATTGATCATTCTTAATTTTTCAAGATTATTGCACTTTCGGATCGAATATTGCCTTGAAAAATGTGTACTCGCTATTTCTCACTAAATGAACCTCCGAAAAATTAAATTTGCTAACATGACGTTTTAAAAATATAAGTGAGACATTGTTCCATGTAAATGGATTTAAAATGATTGAAATAAATTATTTGGAGAAAACAGTTGAATTAAATAAGCCAATAAAATAAGATAAAAATAAGAAAATTTTTCGGGTTCTCACATAAAGTCAAGATTGGGACTGTTCCAGTAGCTATTATTTACATGATTCAATACAAGGTT